TTTAAAATTGTGTTCTTAATTATTAATCTGTGACATTCATCGGTTCAAATATATTAATTTTATCGGTTATTTTGATAGGAGAGATTTTATTCCCTACGGTCTGGTATAGTTAAATGAAGAGCTAAAGACTCAGTGTGACATCGAAGCTGTTTTTTTTTATTAAGACGGTAATGCGACTCGAAGACCATTTATCTTACTTGAATATTAATATGAAATGGTTATAACATTTGTTTTTATTTTTTATTATTGAAATAAAGTTATTTTTTTGGTCAAATTATCGTATGGAGTCTACTATTTGTGTTGAATTCTTTAAATACAGTAATACCTCGGACTTACGCGATAGGTGGGACTGAGTGCTATCCGCGTAAGTCGAATTCGCGTAAGTCGGGGTACAATTTTGCATATAAAGTCATACAAAGTATGTTTAATTGGGACTGGAGACTAAATAAAACAATAATTTAGGAAATAATTAGTATCTAATTCTAGATAATATGACAAACTATATTAATAGAGTGTATAAACACAATCTGAAGTTATTTTGATGTAGAAGGTTTCATAAATTGTAACAAAGTCGTCTGACGATTCAATGATTTTTTCTTCTCCCGTAATATCTCCTCGTAGCATCCTAGTAATTTTTTTATTCCATTTTTTGTAACAAAAATTCGCTCTTCATTGGAGTCTATGCTTTCCAAAATTGTTAACCCTTTCTCAATCGAACTGAGGGCTTCTGTCAAGTTTCCAACTGTCATTTGACCTTCTAATTGAACTGGATCCAAAGAATCATTATCAATTTCTTCCTCTAGTTCATGCATTGTTATGAGCTCATCAATTGTAAGCTTCTCATTGTGTGATTCCAACAGTTCTTGAACATCATCACTATCCACTTCTAAATTTATTTGTCTACCAAGTTCGACAACATCTTTGATCACACTGCAAATTTCATCAGGCCCTGGCACTGATTCCACCTGAGTCTCAGTGGAGAAAAAAAATGGACAGGGTTTTTTATATATGTATTAGAAAATTAAATCGCGTAACTCCGAATTCGCGTAAGTCGAGGTAGCGTAAGTCGGGGTATTACTGTACTAATATTATCTATGCTTAATGTTTGTTAGTCTCTCTCTTACTACGTTTTGATACTGTTAAATTTTGTTTCACATATAATCAAAAGTATGAACTATTTCTTTTGTAAATTATCCGAAGATTATTTATATCATTACTTACAATTCTTCCATGGACTTATACCATAGACTTATAAGCTTTATGGTTTCATAAAAAAAATGTTGTCAAAACGTTAATATTGCATTAACATATATAACGAATGAATTTAATCTATAAACTTAACAAGAAATAATCAAGTTTTAAAAATAAAAATGGTATGAATGTATTAATTTATATAAATTTGAATAATTTTCGGTTACGATATTAAATGCCATATAATGAGATACGTCCAAGTTTGTTAAAAAATAAAACAGATACAAAATTAAGATTCTTTAAAATATTTTAATAAAATCGCGTCATTTGTAACTGTCGTGTGGAAATCAAAACCAATCCTTTATATTTTTTTATTTAATTTATAATTACTGTTATATATCATTAAATATTTAAATTCTATGGGATTTTAACTAGGTTTATACCTTTGTGATTTTTTGGTATGTGAATAAAAAAAAAATTTTTTGAAGAATAAATGTGTAATGATTTATAATTACATTAAAATTTATCGCGCTAAATTAATGTTGTAGCGAGTGAAATGTTAAATGTAATTACTAACTTTATAATAATATATACGATAGAAATATAAAATGTTAGAATATGTATATATTATATAGAGACAGTCAGAAATCACGAATTCCAATATACATGTTCATTTCTTTGTTATTTATAAAGCTGTCAATTTCAAAGCAGTTTCAGGTTAAAGTGGAAAGAAGCGCAGATGCAACTGACGATCGTAACTCAGAGAAAAACGTTGTTACGAGCCGACTCGCATTAAATTATTATGATTTATGTGTTTTAGTGAAGCCGCCTCACCTCCTTAATTATACATGAGCCACAATGCTACGACCGACGCTCTCCGATAACAGATTTATTTAAAGGGCAACACTGGAATGACTGTCATTGTCATTGAAGCGTTCATTTTAATTCTAATCATAAACTTGTTATATTTTATACTGTATATCAAGATTGTATATAATTCTTTATTGGACCGTTTTTGTGATCGTAAAAAAGGCGATGAAAGTTGATACAATCATCACTCAGGTAATACCTGATTGACATTAATGACTTCATCATTAACATACGGATAATGTTATTATATATTTACATGTAAAAAATGCTAAATCGTCCGCCTTAGTAATCGGATTCTCTCAATACATATACTTATACGTTTTATTAACATAGACGCGTCTATTCGAAATATATTTGAATTATTACGATTTTGTTTACTCTAAATAATATGACAAACCTTTTTTTGTATTTGACAAATATATTTTTTTATCTATGACCGTCATTTGGGATTTCAATTTAAATGAATTGACAGGTGACATTGTGAATTTCTTAGTTAAATGTCAAGCAGTTCTTTCCATATGAGATCGTTTTATTTATGTAAATGTATGTACTCTAAGTAAAATGTGACAATAATAACCTTCTTACCTGTCAATCCGATTCGCCACACAACAATCACGTGGAAATTCTGAATAGACTATAACCTTATGAAACTTTATGAAACGTTCTAAAACCTACTTTTTACACATGTCTTAGGTTTCATTTTTCATCAGCTGTGTACACGTATGTGTTAATGGGAAATGTATTTTATATATATAGTATTAAGGTCGTGAATACAGTGCGCGTGCGTCCGGTCCGAGTCGATTGTAATCTGTACGAGCGAGCCGCTGACCGCGCGTTATAATGACGATGTCGGCAAAGAAGTCATTATTCATTTTTTTAATACAGTGTTTTGTTGAAACGACATTTTCACTAGCGTAATCACGATTTGTACAGGCAATATATCAAAGTAATAAAAGCCACGTTATTACGGAGCGGTAACTCGCTGATGATTTTCAATTTGATGTCTTCATCGTGTTTTTCTTTGCAATCGATTTATTAAAGTAAATTACTCTTCATTGCTTCGGTGTAATTACATATAATATATATATTATTGATATTATAGTGTATACGATCACGTAACTATAATACTTATGTAATTATTATTAATTGTTATCGCATTAACCTTTAGCCTAAATCGATGTTCTTTATGGCAGCACAATAGAGGATGTTTAATTAATGGCAACACAAAACCTGAAAGTTTGATGGCGACCATTACAATAACCAATTTGGGTGCTACGTTATTTTAGAACTTGCATTTACATAAAAACTGAAAGCTTTTAACTTACAATACATTGTTTGAACCGCAACAAATAATAGTATCTGACTGTATGTCTGAGTTACGACGGGAGGTTTCAGGGGTACCATTTTAATTTTGTATCCAAAACGAGTATAATGCCATAGGAATGTCATCCTTTTGTCTATTAACATACAGGTGAGTATTGTGTGTAATATTTCTTCTCTAGGTGAAGGTGTACACGGCAGCAGTGTTGGAGTGATGGCTCAATCAATGAGGAACGTCTATGGAAGTTGTACGTGTCGTGGTAACTGTTTGTACAATGTACGATGAATTCCTTTCTCAAGGGCCGTTCGGGTTTTCATTGTTTGAAAGGACCATTATTAAAACAATCCATTTTACTTTATTATTCGCTTGTAAAACGCTTCACCGAAGCTTATAATAATATAGAAATATGTTTTCGCTACACAAAATAGTTTATTACTGTATTTTTAATTTAGAATTCGTTAGGAAAATAATTGCAAAGGAGACAGTACATATAGAATAAGGATTAAATAAAATTGTTCTGCATTAACTAGTTATTTTATTGACATTAGTTTTTAGCAAAAAAATAAAAAAAAATCCTTAATAATTACTTAAAGAATATCTATATCTCTGTGACTTTTTATATGTTTATGTTACAATCACCCTGTATAATATACAGGATGTATCGTATATAACAGTACTATTGGAACACAAATAACTTTTATCTGTTACATTAACAAATTTCCTAACACTTTTATCACGCGGCATCTCATCAAGGGTCTGTACGTGATCACATGATTACATTTAATAGTAAATAAAAGATATTGTAAGACATCTCCGATGCTTCAGGTAAATGTACCTATTGTGGACCATATGAAGATTTTTTAAATATTTTACCTGAATATAAAAATATTGTTTTTTTTGTATTTATTTAAAACTAGTTCATGCCCTCGACCTCGTTTACGTTCGGTTTTTAATTACAAATCTATAGCCGATGGGCGAACGCCATCCCTCCTTAAAGAATTTTAGATTTGATCAGCGTATTTTTCATCTTTTTCAATTGAATGAAAAGTATCAAATGTCCTTTCTATGTCCTAAGCTATCTCTCCACCAATTTTCAGCCAAATCCGTACAGAAATTCTTGAGTTATAAATAGTGTAACTAACACTTCTTTCTTTTATATACAAAGATTTATTATTTTATTTAAGAAAGAATATATTTTGTAAGTATTTATAATATTAGAATTATTATATGTCTGTTCTATGTGAATGAACCTAACATTCTTGTCTCAGCGGGGTGCGCGTGCGCAGCGGGTCGCCTCATTATTAGCACCTCGCCTCTCAAAGGACGCCGCCCCCCACCACACGACTGTCAGACTGTCAGTACAAATTAGGTAAGTGAAATAATTTTAATTAAGACGTAACAAATGTATTAAACATCTTCATCTGAGACTCAGTTTAATACGAACGGCGATCTAAAACCACATACAAGACAATAACGAGGAATTTTAATCACATAAAAGCGAAGATTTAATGTGAGTTACGAGCTAATGAAGTAAATATTGAGTAGTTTAGTGCGCTGTATTAATGGCGCTGAACTAACCGAGTGTGGGTAATTGTACCAGTATGCATCACATATTAATCTAGTATGGAACTGGTATGTCCGTGATGATGTTCTCTGATTGGATGCCGCCTTCCGCCTCCAGGGGGCGTGCGCGGGCGCATCCGAAACAAAGAGCTGACAGTCTCCAAAGTACGATAATTAAGTGAGTAATGGAAGTCTCTTGATAGCCAGCTGTAATTGACGCGCGACTGTTCATTGTGATGCTATTAACACTTTATAATAATCATTTTATTGAAACTATCCTTTAATATATGTATATAAATATATATAATTTTTACTTCGTCTGAAAAAGGTTTTGTATATACATACTTAATATATTTTCTCATCACCTAATTTGTATATGCATGTGTCAATTACTGACTTAACTCTTGTAAATTTTGCTTTCATTTGTTTATGAATTAAAAATTGTTCATTTATTTCACATATATATTAGTTTTTTTTTGAGTATTGCATTAATTAATTGATATGTATTAAAATGAAAGTACAATTGATTAGGACAGATTATATATAATAATAAAGTCATCAAGTATGACAGTTTCACACATACAGCCGATGTTTATTGTGTTTCTGTGTTTTATTTTTATATTTACGATCCTTTGTCGGCGGTTGCGTTAAATTATATGAGCCTTTTTCAAAACGACTCGCGAATATATTTTTAACTCCATTCGTCTTGTCTTTGAGCTGTTGTTTTTATTTTCTGTGACGCCGTTTCTAATATCGGGTGACATTTTCATAATTGGGATGTATCATTATGTCATATTTTAGAGATTGAATGTATAGTATATATGTTTTAAACGTATGAATAGGAATAATAAATAAATAAATAAAATAAATTTATTTTATACTTGTCTTTAAAAAATAAATACAAAAAATATGATTATAAATTCAGCTGAGAAATTGGCTTATAAATATTTATATAGGGATGAATTATACTCAATTTTATATAAAAAACAATACATACTTCTAGTATATTCCCAGTTTTTTTTTAAACAAAATATGTATATATCATAAAAATTATCTTCATATTTGAATTAGTAGCGAGATGGTAGTTCAGGTTAGCTAAAGTTTTAGCTTTAAATGTGGTAATTAGATAAGTTGAGTAAAAAATATATTTGATTAAAACCTTCATCGTTTTTATGTTTAATTCTATGTTGTTATGTATGAAGAATATATTTATTTTATTTCTTAAGTACGCTGTAACACAAAGCATTAGATCTCGGTAGATTTTTATACAACGCGTCGATATCTTTTATATTTAATAATCACACAATCTAACACATAATCTACTATTATAACACAACTATATAAAACTCATCGCAGTACTCCATAAAATTATGATTTGTAATTAAGATATTAATATTCATTTAGATACATCAAGTTGTAATTTAATATTGAACCCAACAATATTCAATAATTAACTCTATGTACAGGTAATAGGGTGTAAAATCTAATGTTATAAAATTGTTTAATAACCGAACACCATAATAAAATTTCAATAATATTACAAAACTAACGTCAGCCTCTACGAAAGTTCTTATAAACTATAAATAGGTATGGTACAGTTAACAGAAATAATAATTAATATGTAACATTATAATCTGTACTATATTGACGTCATTTTGACGTTTTAAGTCTTTGTATAGTAAAAAAAAGAAAATGTCTATGGATTTGTGACGTCATCTAAACTGACATTGACAGATAATATATATTATCTTATTATAGCTTGAAGTGCAATATCTATATTTAGTTCAAAGTATAATTTAAATTAAAAATAATAGTCAACAGATTTTATTTTAATAGTTCATACATTGTTGTTTTTATATGGAGTTATATATTAAATAATGTAGATGGCGCTGTTAGACATCTCAATTTATTAGCATAGATTACTTTTATTATATATAAAATCCATTAAAAACAAATCTATAATAAGAAGTATTATATATATGAATATAATATAGCAGACCGTACATAGAATTTAATCCTCAATAAATATAACATTCAATTATATGTTTAGTAGTACAAGTGATAAGTGGACGAGGTTTCAAAGACTAATTTAATTACTGTGTCTATTGCAGCTGAGTTAATGAGTCGAGACTCAGTACTTTAGATTGAAAATATATCATTCTATATAATATATCTAATGTTTTGGTTAAGCTAAGAGTTAACTTGACGATTTTTGTTACGTATGTGTTTTTTGTTGTTTATTATATAAAAGTGTTTGTTCTCTTTCGTAGTCTTAATTGATATTAGCTGTAGTGTGTGAATTTGCCTGAATATTAAACAATCTTTGACATAGTCGATATTCTTTTGAGGATTGATTTAATGACAATTGAACTATGTTAGAACAGTACTTATTGGAGATAAATGAATGTTTAATTGAAGGAGTGATAGCGTATCAAACTTTTAATTGAATTGGAAACTTCCTCCTTTTTCTAAAGTAGGTTAAAAACTAGCCTAAGATACTCTTATGACGTTTTCTGCGTGCGTTTTAAATTCAAAATATCTGTACAGCAATTCAAGAGATTGGATTGAATAGATAGACAGAAAGGCGGACAGAAAATAATTTTAATATATGCATTTTGATATTGTATTTAATTTTTAAAAATGACTATGGCTTCATTCGCATTGGAATCCGGGAATATTGTGCCAATGTCAATGTTTTTATTTGTTGAACGAATTAATTGTATTGCAGTTTCATATGCGTTTAGTGAAAAGCTGTCAAATAGAAATTCAAATAGACACTTAAGTTTTATTTTCAACAAGTACTAGTATAATAAAATATTATCTTGGTGGCATAAAAAAGATAATGCTTTATGCAGCCTATTTCATGTCTATCATTATTTAAATAGAATGAAAGATATTATATTTCCTATCTTTAATAAGTGACGAATATTATAATTGAACATTTAGTTTTTTCAAGTGCTTATAAAAAAATTATTGTGCCATTAAAAAAGGTCTGATATGAAATATTTATGTTATTTAAAATTTTATTATTTATAATAATAAATATTACGTTTTTATAATATATTAGTATCATACATAATGCTGTCAACGACTTCATTTAATATGTCATGGAAAGAAAGTTCGTTTAATATATTAAGCTACCATGTTTGTCTGTCTTGCTTTTACGAATAGTAAAAATATATATGTATTTTTTTCTATATACATTTTAAATATTTCATTTGAAAATATCACCCATTTTTGTCTATACAAACATTAATACAAAATCAAGTCATTATATTCTGTTTCAACGATTTAAAAGATTAATGATTCAAGACACCCCGAAATATAGTGATTGAAATAAAAATATTAAATTCATTTCATCAATTTATTTTACTTACTTTTTCTGTATATTAAATGCTGTTGCAGTATATTGCTGATTAAGCCCAGTTCACTCTTAGTGTGTTTTTATTGTTCATTCGGAAACGATGTTTAAGGATCGACAAACACTGTCGTTACATTGTAAAGAACCAAAGGTTATTATGGAGTTAACTATAGCAAGCTCTTGACATGGATGGAAGAATCTTAAAGAATATATATACATATGTGTATATGTATATAAATAGAGTAATGCCAATAAAATATATAATATTTGAGTCGAATTATGTAGGTCGTTAATACAAAACACCGTGGCCTTTATTCTAAGCAGTTAGTTATTACCATTGTCTATATTTCTCTAACAAGTGGGACTTCAGAACCTTGATCATGGACTGCTCCTGTCTTTTGTCCCTTAACTTCATCAACCTTAACACCTTAGTACGACACATTTTGATAATTACTGCAGCCACAGATACTAAGTATACTACAAAATGGTTTCCAAAATCAATATAGCCAAAGTCACCTGTTATAACTTATCAGGTTGACTTATTAGTCTCAGCTGAAGCCTTTGGGAGTAAAGAAGTAGCTGTAAGTTATAAACAGGCCTGAATGAAGAGTGTTCGTTACAAGAGATAGTATCACTATGGGGAAAGTCTGCAATTAGCTTTGACTAAAAAGCCTTTATCACAACACCACCCCATGAACTTGAAGTATTATGTTATAGGAGTTAGGTAGTCAGTTTCCTTAATGGAAGCAGCATGAAGACTTGCTAGTTTGTTACAAATTCGCCACTAAAGACACCATCAGTTGTATAATTATATTTACAATATAAAGCTAATATGCCGATATGGCGATGACAGTTCGTGCAAACTAAACGTTGACTAAATATGTATAATTGATCCATGGAGAATCATTTTAAAAGAATAGTCTAGATATTTTTTCTCCAATAAAGGCTAATCTTATACAGGACCTGGATTTGAAATAGACAAAGATAATCTTATTCTTTTGAAAGAAAGTAGGGACGCGGTTAATAAGTTTAATAAAAAATAACAAACAGACATCTTCCACCGATACAAAATCACGCACCATTCATGAACTCCTACTTTGTAATTGTTTAAAAGTGAAAGAAAGATAAAGAAAAAGAAATTAAAAATATATATTAATACATTGTAATCATTGACATTAAGTTAAATGAACGACTTAAAGTGTACATTTAATACGGAAATCAAATTAGTACATCTTCTATTAACATAATTGAAAAAGTATCATACTTATAGCAGTAAGAAGCATACATTAAAAGTACCAAATAATGATGGTACTTGGGTAAAAGTATAAAACTACAAAGACAAGCCGACATGGACATGAATTGAGAAATATTTTAAGTTAAATGATTCTACAATTGCCGGCTGTCTGAGATATGCCTCTTCGTGACTCCGCTGTTGTGGCAATACTGATAACTAAAACCAATTAACTGCAGGGTTGAACTTTAGTTACGAAAAATAATATTACTACTAATATGTTTAAAAGTGATTTGTTCGATAAATTATTAAAAATACTAACCTATTTTGTATTCATACTGGTAAAAGTATAAAGGAAAGGAGTTTTAATTCATAGAAATGCTATTCTTAACCTTTCACGCTAGCTGCGGTAAAAGGAAAATTTATATGTGCGTATATATAGAGTAATTTGAAACGTCGAATTAACTTTGTCTTATTATGTCTCTATGTTTTAGAGTTCGCGTATAATATCTAATAAGTTTTAATGAACTTATTAAGTTAACTAATGCTTTAAAACATCTTTCATTTTATTTTAGCAGAAATGATAATAATAATAATAATAAAATAATATACGGTATATATAATTTGAAAATATGACATCGCCTCTCAAAAATGAACATTGGTCTATATGATAAAAAACTAAAACATTCCTATTATATATATCAATACTTCAATTGGAATTCATTCAAAACAATTGCGAAACCGTTATAAAATTTAACGTCGTAAAATTTAAAAAAATCTTAAAAATTCCTTTACAGAATGTTTTTATCATAATAATAAGGCTTTAAGATGAAACCTTTAATAGTTTGTTAAGCGTCGTAACGTCGCTATAATAAGCTCAGAGCTATAACAATAACACTGAAAAATAATAACCGGCTCCGCTGATACGAGTAGGGACACATTTACCTTGTTACAAGACATTTAATGTTATTATAATACAGAGAATCTTCCTTTAATTATTGTATCTTGATAACTATGGAATTACTTAAAGTATGTTACCATCACAATACACCAATATAAATGTATGTATGTTTATATTTTTATTCATACAAAATATATTCGTAAATGTCGTAGATAGGGAAGTTTTTTTTTTAAAGAAGCAATTTTTTTAATGTAGCCCTACTTCAAATCAGCAAAGATCGAGTGTTCAGCAAAAATGAATGAATAAAAATAAAATCATTTAAGGTGGAACACCGAAACAGAGCTTAATATAAATGGCAGGGCGTTTCTGTGCGAGGCGTGAGGTAGATGCCCGATAACGCTCGGAGTGTTAAACTTTTGTATGGCGGGCTATTCATTTTTATTAATAATTTTATAGATTTAACTTTACCGGTTATTTTGCTCGTTGGGTATAACGTTTTTCTTGTAAAAGGCGAGGCTGGTAATTGTTTCGTTATGAACTGTTATGCTGCATCATATTGTGTTCTGGGTATTTCGCGGCTGTTTTCAATAATGAATAGAATCGTTTTTAATCTAGCCCAAATATATCAAAGGTTCTTCCTGGTTGAATAACATGATAAATATTTCTAATTTATTTGGTATTCTAGTTAAACCTTACTTTGATTCTCTCTTCTGTTATGTGATCAACTTTTGTATTATTTATTTATTACTAGCTTTCCGGCCGCAGCTTCGCCCGCGTGAAGTTCGGTTATATCGCGTTTCCAAGAGAACCTTTCAAAAATCTGTGATAAAAACTATTCTATGTTCTTTCTCAAGATCAACTCCAATTCTGTACCAAATTTAATTAAAATCAGTTCAATGGTTTAGGCGTGAAAGCGTAACAGACAGACAGAGAGACAGAGTTACTTTCGCATTTATAATATTACTAGGAATTTCTTTCTAATAAGAATATGCATGAAGCGTCTTGCTTCTCATACTACATATATTTCAATTTGTATTTAAATAAATTTATTTATTTAATATACTTACTTCATTATATAATCTTTTACATAAATACGTATAAAATCAGTATACAAATCATTCCGCAATAAGTCTGTACAGGTGTCGGTTAATGTGTATAAATAATAGCTGTTACAATGGTCATATTAAATACGTCCATACCCCCGGGTATTTATAAACTACAGAGTTATTTACAACGTACGAAACAATATAGGTTCTAAGGCATCATATACACACCTCTATATTAATATTGATGTCATTTTTGTTAACAAGATATGTTGGAGTACGGTTATATCGCGTTTCCAAGAGAACCTTTCAAAAGTCTGGGATAAAAACTATCCTATGTTCAAACTAAAGGACAACTTTATCTCTGTACCAAATTTCATTAAAATCATTTCAGTGGTTTAGGCTTGAAAGTGTAACAAACAGACAGACAGACAGAGTTACTTTCGCATTTATAATATTAGTAGGGATGTGCAGTAACAATATAGGTTCTAAGGAATTATACAGTACACACCTCTATATTAATATTGATATAATTTTTATTAACAAGATTATTTATATACGAAGATTTTCAAAATAGGTTTGTAATAATCAAACCTCCTTGGTTTATTTCTGATCCATTATGATCATTGATTATTACGAAGAGATGCTGTTACGCTCTCCGCCCTCTATCTCGAAAACGGTTCAACGTATAAAATACATTTTTACACAAAATTTGTAGAGAATTTTGTATTCTACAATATTGATGATAAAGACAAATAGCAAAAAACCCATAGGATGTGAGATATTTCCAACCGATTTTTGTGACCTTTGAACTTGAAATTTAATAGTTGCTTACACCCTACCATATGTAGGTTTCGAGACAACTTTTAGGGTGTCAATATACAACTATTTATAGACTTACAGCTGGTTATCTCGAATTCCGAGATTAATTTACTATAATGGCTGGACTATATTTTGATTTTACTTTTGTGGTTGAAATAATAGCCACGTATTAAACTTGGCCTTTCGATCTTGTTCTATTGATTGTGTTTTGTTTTAATTAATTACAATTAATTTCATTCAAAGATATGTATATTATAGATTTTTGTGACAATTAAATTGATTTATATCTAATATAGAAGATATTAAAATATCTTTAAGTATTATAAGCCATTTAAATCTCAAACCTGGTCCGTCGTCTGTTCTTGTCTGACGTTGAGTGACGTGATATAATGTAATTTCGGCGTTCCCGCTTCTAACAGATGGTCAAATTAAAGTATTACCTTTTTTATGATACTTTAAAATAAATCGGCGTTAAATATAACATGTGCAACAATTATAATTAGTTGAATGTCGAACTGTTGTTACGAAACCTAATGAAGATTAGGCTCTGTATATATATATATACATATATATATATATGTGTAAGTAGTCTTTTGTTTCATAGACAATATTAATTCTACATAAGAATCGTTAAATTTAATTATAAATAATATTCAGAAAGGAAATTAATACGAGAAATACATATATCTATCGGGAGCTGTGTCGGATTAATTTAATTAAAAAAATCCAAATCAATTTGCGGCTGGTAACCAAAAATTTAATTAACTAACACAAAACAAATGTCGAAAAGGTATTAAGAAAAAGGAACTCGGCCCATTAAGTGAGCATACCTGGTTGGGAAGCCAGCACCTTGTGGCAAATTGAAAACGACGCGCTTGGAGCAAGCTAATAATAAATTCTAAAATAATAATAATTCATAAATAATAATCGTGCTGGAACCAAAATAAAAATGTTACACAGCTCGATATAATAAAGGATTCCTGGACACGTCGGCCACACTACGCGAATATTAGAACAGAGGTACATAATAATATTGTTATGTATTATATTGAATTTAAACTCATACAAATTATTAAGTTAGATACAAATGTAATTACAATACTTAGCATTATTATTAGATAGATATTCTATATTAAAAAATAAATATTTCAAATATATTAGCAATATAATAAGATGTAGTAATAATTCATATAATCTAATTATTAATTTTAAAAATGATCGTCCGATGACCACAATCGGCCCGTGTGGTTCCCGCGTCGCTATATAAATTGTTTTTTGGAACAACAGCTATAATTAGGCGATGCGTTACGTTTTTGTTTGGCCCACATTTCCCAATCCTCTAATTTCTGTTGTTCTCTTTTTTTTTCGTGGCGTATCTTTTGTAGTCGTTAAAATGATTACTCCGTCGGGATGATGGCTTCATACGTGTTTTAGGTTATAACTTA